CCCCAAAACCCCAAAACCCCAAAACCCCATATATTAAGAGATTGTTGAAAAATTAGGATATTTCAATTAAAACGTAATACTACATAACAAATTCGAATCAATTGTAATTAAATATTTTACTATTGATTTATATGTATATCATTAAAATACTTGTGAGCAAAAGCTTATCTTACCAAGAAAACTGGGCAGGATAGTCTATAATATATTTAATAGTAGACATCTCTGGATCAGTCATCTTCGTTATTAAATTAATCTTCTCTTTTCTCCCATATTTGTCAAAGCGCGATAATTCGAACTCACTATTATGCAAACTAATACTATTACAACAAGATTATTTTAGAACTTTCAAATTGAATAGCTTCTTGTTCAATACGTTCCACATTGTTATTGATACATTTGAAGGAGATATTTAATATTCTAAAGTAGCAAAAAGTGTTTCGAGACTACGCTTGCTGAAAAATATTCGGTACTAAGATGATTTAGTGCAAGTCATAAAATTACAAAACCTTTAAAACTAAGCAACTTGCTTTTAATAAGGCATCACTTTTAGCTACAAATTATCTTATACCGCTGTTTTTTTAAATGGTAGTATAAAGAACTTATCATTCTAATATTCTTTCTAAGCTAAAAGATAATTCTTAGTTTTAATCGATACTTCATTAGAAAGTCTTTCATATATTTGCAAAAGTGCTTGAGGCTTGAAATCAGATTTATATGCGTTTGCTGTTCTTATTAATGCTTGCTGTCTATCTTTGAATTAGTTGTAACCAATGCCAAATGCGGTCCAGCACATCATTTGACTTAATTGAATCTCCAGCTTTGATAGATGCTAAAAGTCGTAAATTATTCAAGAATCGTATTTCTCTTTTTATAAAAATCTTGTATAGGATTAATTTATAGTCTCTAGATCTTTTTCCCTTATTTTTCTGATTGTTATTCGGTCCTTATTTGTATTATGTTTTCTGAATTTTGATAATAGATTTGCAATAAGCTAGTTACTATCCTCTGATAGATTAGATGTTTTCAAAGTACCATTACTTGCTTCCAAATCATTATTATCCTCTAAAATGCCTTAAGATAATGGTGTGAGAGGCTCAACTATTTTTTTCATTACAGACTTTCGTTATTTTCTTTACAGTTATCTCTAAATAAGCAATTCATTAGAATGACTCAAAACCTTTTGTTAAAAATGTCATTTGGTGTGGGAAGATTAATTAGCCTAACTATCTTCTTCTTTTCCATCAACATGCTGTTTATTTAAAGTGTTCGAGAATTTAAGATTTGATTTACCAACTTGTTCATCTAAACTGTTCTCGAATATTCCATCTAATGACATTTCAAGTGTTTACTTCTTTCTCTTCTTGTTGACTATTTATATTTTTCTTAAAACTTTATCTGATGGCATATTTTCTCTAATTATATCACTTCTGAATAATGATGACTCTCGCTCAATTCCTTTATAATTCTATGCTGTTCTTCTTTTTTAGCCAGTTCTTTGATTTTAAATAAACGTAGCAGGGGGTGAATAGCCTGAAGTTCTGGAAGTATCTCTCAGTTCTCTCCTCTTATTACTCCGAGACTTAAATGTATCAATTGCAACTTTTTATTGTACACCCTGGATCATTATTTTATAATAAAAATATTAATTCTTTAGTATTAATAAATATTCTAACTGAAAATCCCTATTAATACTTATTAATTTACGTATGTGTCGAAATGCATTCAAATGGGGTTTTGGGGTTTTGGGGTTTTGGGGTTTTGGGG